AAGTAATGAAAATGCTAACTTCAGAAATTTTAGTTACCTCTCTGCTCCATTAAGAGCTAGAATCCTACACTGAAAATGGTGGAGGAGCTGGTGCTTATCAATTACAAAGATGAGCTCTTTTCTGAAACAGTAACAGAAAGGGGTGCGACTTACACAAGACCGAGGGACATCTGGTAGAACAAAACTCAGATGGAGAAAGCATCCTTCTCAAGCACACTCTTCACTCAACAGTTTTTTTTTTTTATTAAGTACAGCAAAAGAAAATACAGTGCTGGTGGTAACATGTTACCAAGGTGGACAGGATTAGAATGCATAATGTGGCTAGCACTTTAGATCATTCTGTCTTAGTCAAATACTTAAATGAGATAGACAATATAATGACAGATTGAGGAAGGAGCAACTTTCACCTGTGTGCTGTCTGGCTGGACATATCTACCAGGAACTGTTTGGAAGATATTGTGACAGTGTGTCCTATAATACATTTCCAGGAAAAAAGCCAGCCCTATATCTCAAACAAATGGTTGGCCCATCTGGTTGTTTACCAAGGGGAAGGCACCACTCACAAAGGAAACTCTTCAGATCAACATCCTTAGTGACTTAAGACTGTAGAAGTAAGGGTTCCCCATGTTTCAAAGAACAGGGGTTAGGAATACACATAGAAGAGAACACTTGAGTGTGCATGTACCAATGTCATCAGGAAGATTCATAAGAAACTAGGTACCCACCAAGAGACAGTGTAACAACTTAATATGGCAAGTGCAAGTCAAATGTAAGGGTACAACTACACCTAGTGTTGTTTTTGTTTGAATTATCAGAAAAGGTTCAGCAATGGCCATGTCTATTCTATAAATATATATCACTGAAAATTTGCCTTGCAGAACACTCCATTTCAATAGTGGGCTCTGAGCAGAGGCAGGTGGTTTTAATGCTTTCCTTACTCCCCTTTGTGATGTGTTTTGAGTAAGTATTCCCTGTGAGGAAACATCAACCATTCAATGGGATCCAATTACAAGAAACGTAAGAAATGTAGTGTTTAGTTGCACATGAGAAGTTTTTCTGTGTATTTCACCTCCTCTTACTTTTTATGTTGCTGAATGTGTATGAAAGGAATGATACACACAAGATGGTGTTAATAAATGAGTGAGAGACATAGAGAACAAACTATCAGCAAATGAGTTACAAAAGATAAACAACAGACACAATTCATCATACTAGGGCCTCCAAGTAGTCCAAAGAATAGTTACTGTAGGGAGGCAAACACCAGAGGTGTATGAAACTGGCAAGTGATGTAAGTAATGGGGAAATTAATGTGTTAGGTGTCTACATACCAGCCTGCAAGGTCTCCACCAAAGGTAAGCATAGAAAAGATGCAAGGAGCTGTGATATGTTTAATCTGACATGAGGTGACATTAAAAAAGTGGTCATTCAGACTTGCCCAAAAAGGAAAATGCCTTACAGATAAGCTGATAAATCAAACCAGTTAAAGTAGATGGGAATAAGAATCTAGAGGAGGAGTTAAGCCCTGGGAGAAACAGGCAATGATGATGTCCATGAAATGGGGTTAGTTCAAGTGATATAGCTATGGACAGCCTTAACTAGACATAAAAGATGACTATAAATGAAATTATTACACAATTAGAAAATAAAAAGAGGTGGAAGAAAACAACTGATCACCCTCCTGAGCAGTCCAAGTCTTAGGAAGAAGATATAGAGTATAGGAAAAGATGAGGCATTAATGTCTAAGCAACAATTATCAGAAGCAAGCAGAAGGAAGAAACAAGACAAAAGAAAAGAAAAGGTGTTGGGCAAGAAGCAAAAAGTGTGGATAACACCACTAGGTAACTGGCAATCATTGAAACATGTAGGACTTTTACAAAAAAAACAGGTAAAGCATAGGTCCTGAAAGTGAGTACCTCCCTTGTGGTTGATATAAGATACAATCATAATGGATCATAAAGAGATAACCTGACAACTGCAATCAAAGATTTTGGCAAGCCCAAAAAGCAGCAAATGTCTCCAGAATGTCATTAAGCAGAGATTGCACCAATGAAGAAAAGACCCTAAAGAGAGTGAGCAGAGGTGTTAAAAATCCCCAATCAGAAAGGAAGGCATCACTGTGCAGATGTAAATTGGGTGGGGGTGGGGTGGGATGGAATACTCTAGTTCATGTTGAAGCAAACCAGCCACCATGACTAATACAAGGGCAGAAAAGGGATCACAGTTCATGTGCAATAGGTCCTCTAGAGCCAATTGAAGAATACTCGTGTGTACAGAGAAACCAGAGACTCCAAAAGAAAGAGAACCTCACATGCAGGAAGAGAATGAGAGTGAGGAAACTTCAGTAATAAGATCTCCATGGTATGAAGACTCAAAGAAAATGGCTGAGGCCAGCCAGTATTAGAACCAAGAAAACTCCCAGGAAGATGTTGAAAACACAAATGATTAGAAGAGGATATGTTAAAAGATGAGGAGAAAGAGAAGGTGGAATACAAAAAGCATGGACAGAACTGTAGAAATAACTTCCACAACAAAACAGTTGTCAGTAAATGGAAATTATAGGTTTGGAAGAGGGGGAGAAGGTTGGCACAAAACATTTCAGAGCCAAGAATCAGCTTCAAACAAGAGTCTCAATGGCCCACCTAGGAAGAGGGGGAAAGGTAAGTGGAAGAAATAAGATGAGGAACAGGAGAAGGGGTAGCCCCACAAGACTCTGGAGGTTGTGTAGCCTACAAATGTATCCATGAGCTAGTGAGCCAGGATACTAAGTAATCGAAGGAAGATTTTGGAAAACTGCAGCAACCTAAAAAGCCAAGGAACTGGGATCACATCAATGACTGGTGCAGTGGGAAATGGGGGTAGATGTAGGTCAAGCAGAGAAGAGGGAGGGAGGTGGACAACCAAAATAAGAACATCCAAACTGAAGAAACCCCCAGAACAGAGAAACCAAGACAAAACAGAGGCAGAAGAGTAAAAAATTCAAAGGGGCAAACAAGGAAGAATGGGTGGCCATGTGAAAACAATAGGGGTCACAATGAAAAATCACAGTGAGAAGGTGAAGGGTGAAGAAACAGCAATGGAGTAAAGACAAGACAGAGAGCAAATTGCAGGAAAGACAGAAACAAAGAAAAAGAAAGTGGAGTGCCAAAAGCAGATAGAATGAACACGAGATTGAAGTACAAAACATATAGAAAGGTCATGACTTAAGCTATAGCAAAGAAGTCATAAAGATGAGGACAAGAATGATGATGACCAAAGTAGAAGTGTGACAAAAAAAGGCCCATAAAGTAAAGGCAGCCCAATATTTATTATTATATACAGGAAAAATATATAGAAAATCACATCCGTGAGTTACGAGTGTGGTAAACACAAAAGAAAGTGCCTGTTACTAATCAAAGAGAAAATAGTCAGAAGCAAAGGTTGGAGGAGAAAGAGATGGCCAGAATCATCCTCAGAAGGCAATGAAACAGCATTACAAGGCACCTGAATTGTAGAAGGAGCAGGCAGAGAAGAACCAACTACCCTTAAGGACAACAGTTGTAACATCATGAGTGAAAACATCAGCAGTGAACATGTTAATTTAATATGTCCACTATAATCACAGTACCATGCCACAGATAAAGCTAAAGGGATAACTACTGAATATCAGCTCCATGAACAGATAAGGTGCCTCTGGTTGCAACTGACATAGCTGAAGAAAATGTCTGAAGAAGAAAAGTTGGGCCATGGCTGTATTTTTTTTTATTTGGAATCACAGGTTAAAATAACACAAAGAAGAAATATGGTGGCTATGTAAAATGAAGTTGCAATCAGGCATATGGAATAGAAGTGCAAAGAGGACAAAAGTAATGTGGCACTAAATAATGACAGACAGTAGATCATATCAACCAAAAAAATCAAAAAGCACAGAATAAAACACATTTGAACACAGGCAATGCTGAGGAAGAAATGAGCCTATAATCATGTACTAGTGCTCACACAGATTATTGCACATGAAGGTTGTGCCACCCTCCTATTTGTGGAGTGCCAAGCATTATGATGATTTCACCATACACTGGTGCAATATATGTAAACACATGTTGGAGTTTGTTCAAAGCTTGTGGAATGCACAGCAAATCCACGGCTGTTGTGAACAAAGTAATAGCTCTTAGTAATACAAAGAGGTAAATAAAGTTTCTGAATTTACTATTTTCCATGAATTACTCACAATACAAAAATATCACTGACATGGAAACATTAATAAGCAAAGATTATCACAATATTAACCAAATTGCATGTACCTTCCATACTCAATACTGTTTGATCATACAATAAAAATTCATCTGCTTTCATTATTTTTTGGGTGTGAAGCTAAACACTGTCAACACAGAAACTTTAACGAAAGCCTATGTTTTGGAAATGCTTACTAATATTTGAATTATTTGAGAAACTTTCTACCATACAAAGCATGAAAGTATTACCCAGAGAGTCTGCATACAATTTGATAATACAGTGAGAAGTTTAAAGATGTTCAGTTATTAAAATTGCTTGTTTGACTGACAATTTTCTGCTTTTTTTATATGGGGTAATTTTTCTTGTGGTCTAATTGCTGTTGATTAATTTTGATTATCAAATAAAACAATTTTCCATAATATGACATTTCATCTGTGCATTTTATAGTACGACAAAGTACGCAGTTTATCAACTTAATACAGAAACAAATTAGGACTTCTGGGTTAAGCCACTGAAAAAATGGAGGCAAAAAATACAAACAACATCCAAGGAAGAAATTTGATTGTTATCTCAAATTCTTTGACAAGCCCTACAATGTAATACAAAACACTCAACAAAGCAATTTGGACTAACCAATTTGATTGTTATCTCAAATTCTTTGACAAGCCCTACAATGTAATACAAAACACTCAACAAAGCAATTTGGACTAACCAATTTGATTGTTATCTCAAATTCTTTGACAAGCCCTACAATGTAATACAAAACACTCAACAAAGCAATTTGGACTAACCAAACGAGCATAGGATTTTCCATTGCCTCTGGCTTTTTCAGGATTTCCCATTCGAATCAGCAAGGATAGGGTCTTGAAAAAGTTCAATCTTTCAGGTGGACACTCAGGAGCATGCCCACCAGATGTTTTGTGTGCCAATCGGTGACCAATGGCTTCTCTCACCTCTTCTTGTGTCACCTGTAAGATTATCAAAGTTTGTTTAATAACAAAATGGCATTCAATATCATGTTAAAAATGCAGAAAATATATATATAAAAACAACAGCTTCTATCAAATTTACAATTTAACTAGCATTTCTTTGAGTTTCGAGGTTTTAGTGGCAAAATGGAAGTTTTAATGTTTCATAGTATTTTATGAATAAATGAAATGGAACAAAAACACATAATTAAACAATCAGTACAGTATGTCTATATTAATTTTTACCTTACCATCAATATTCCTGAACTAACTCTCAACAACAACAAAACAATTTTCATTTTGGAATATATCATGGCTTTCAAACACCTGGCTAATGAACATGTTTTGGCATTAATGTGGATTTTCTCAGGAATTTCTTCATCAAATACTAGTAAAAAAATACACGAGTAATTCAAAATGTTGTTCATAACTCTTTAGGTGCATACTTTTTTAGTATATTTGGGTTTATATACATGTCTAATTAAATCAAATATACTTCTTGAACCATTTGAAACAGCATAAGACACATAAAAACACTCTTCTCAATACAACCTAAAGATTCAAAATTCCTGGGAGGATGTGTATGTGTAGTTGTACACCCAACTATGCTAGCAATGGCAACAGGGATATTATTATTATTATGTCCTGCTCTATGTCCATGAGGTCTCCTTGAAATCTGGCCTTTTAAAAATGCGAACCTCCTAATCACTGTCATCATCATCACTTGCTTCTACAGGCCCAGCTTTGGTGTTACTACTAAAACTCTCCACGTCAATATCACTCATATCGCATTCAAAATCACTGTCGGATAATTGAGGTTCAGGGCCAGAATCATTGTCAGCTTGCAAAAGTTCAATTGTCTCATCAAGTGCAAAAACACTAGAGTGATTTGATGCCATTTTGGGTTCATTTTCTGATAAAAAGTAAACAATTTTCAGTTTCATATACAACCAATTTTTTGAATAGCAACATATGCCATGTTGGATACAATTCAGCAGCTGAGATCGTCATCCATGTAGATTGGGCTTTGTCTATTGCTTTTGTGCACTCCATTCATATTTCTAGCAGGAAATTCAAACCACATTATGTGGTTGCCATACAGCAACAGGTGCACCTAAAGGGTAAAATTACAATAGCAAGTACACAATCCTTCACCAACAGAGTATTTTATTCTTAATTAATAAGATTTTGTGAGAACATAGGAACAGACATTTTTTAACAATGAAATTTTCATGGATTTTATAAAGTGCAACCAATTAGTTTCTTGCCAGCATTCATAACAGTATATTGGCCAAGTAGTTAGGGCAGTCAACTCAATTAGTCATAAGTTTGAATCCCTGTTCCTGAACATGCTTGTCCTATATCGTTGTCATCTGAGCCTAGGCATAAAAATTCTTGGCTTACAAAAGATACTGGTTGAACCCAGTCTAGTTGGGATGAAGGTTGTTATGGAGAAGAAGATGGCTCTTAGTGATATATTGACTATAAACACTAATGAACTAAGCTTTCTCTAGAATCTACATATATACTGGATAATGTCCTTAAGACAAAAATATAAGCAACAAAAAGCACAAAATATGAGGACACAAAAAAAAAACAGACAGATGAACTCGAACTAGAAGTTTCTATGGCACTTCTTATATTCCTAGCAGAATCAAAATTATAAGACATAAACTAGCACTACACAGAAGCAGACCGATAAAAGAAAAGATCAAAATTATTCTTTTCCAATACTGAAAATACATTTCCAATAGGTACTTAACTGTATAGCTATTCTTGTATAGTGCTGCCTTTTATATGCAAAAATTTCTTTGCATGCCACAAGCCTTGAACTCCAATGTACCCCATAATCAACATGGTTCAACTGCATCTCGCATGTAAATCATCATGCAACAACCCTCCACCAATAGGAGTGTGACACACACACTCCTGATGCACATGGCTCCCTCTATTTGATTCTATTGTACTATCACTTCGAGATTAGGCAGAAAAGAAAAGCACTGGTTTTAGTGGGGGGGAAGGGTGGGAAGTGTGAAAGGAGGTAAGTACCTATCGGAAATATATTTTCAGTTGAGGAAAATAATAACTTCCAGTATGGTACATTACCTCTGCTCATATGTATAGCTAGAATCCCACATTGAATAGGCTGAGAAACTGGTATAAGGGATAGAAAATAAATATCCTTCGAAAGCATCCAAAGAACACCCATGAAGTGTGATTCCCATTGGGAGAGGAACAAATGTGAGAGACCACACCACTTCTGTAACAGTTATTACTTTGCACCCAGTTTGGAAATAGGTGTTGCATACATAGGCAGAAAGTGGAGGGAGCACAACTAAAAATGGAGAGACAAACAGTTGGTTCGGAATTGGAATCACAGTATATTGGAAACTCAATTCCATAGAAGAAAAACTGTAGAAGAACCATCTACAAGAGGAATGTGGGGAAAAATAAAACATAAGTGCTCCAAGGTATAGAGTGGCTAGGGCATGACAGACTGTATGTGGCCAGTCAACTCCAGTCCAAAAACAAGCGGTATCGGGAATAGAACCTAAGACTCATGGTAGGAGGAGGGTCCACACCATCTTCCCCTCAAGTTAAGTAGAACAGAAGGATACACTATGCAAACAAATCTACAAAAAGGCCAGATGTGTGCAAATCCATAACCAACCACACATCCAGGAACCCAACATACAAATGATGATATGAAGAGAATGCCAATGTGGTAAGTCATATCAAACTCAATCAGATGGGCACCCCAATGTGCAACATCAGCCACAGGCAGTGAAAATACCCTAAGATGAAGCATGAGATGAAGAACCATTGCCCTGATCAACATCATCCTCTGGAAAGAACTGCACATAGGCCACACTCTGGGTCTCACCTCATGGAAGTGAATCACCTCTAGAAATACATAGCAACCTCACCCTCCTGATAGAATCACACAAAAGCTGGGTGCTACATCAACCTCAAAGAGATGGAGATTGAGCGAGGATTGTATAACGATTTAGGTTAATTGGTCCAGCTCTAATCCAAAACCACTTACTGGAAACTTACATCCAGGTGATAGTAGGATGAGGGATCCCAATCAAAGGGATGAACTGCAATTTGATGGATCTACACCAAAGCAACATCATCCTCCTGATAGGACTGCACAAAGGCTGGAGTGTAAATACCAACCTCCGGGTCACACTGCATGAAAGTAGATTGCAACAAAATTGGCCAAATATGCTCCCACGAGACTGGAAACAACCTTAAAGTCACTGGAACTGCTAACTACAATGAACCTGACTTCGAGACATACGGCAATATTTCAAACCCTTAGTGGTAGGAACTGGTAAAGGACAAGAGGTTGCAGGACAAGAGGTCATGGCATCAGAATGAGAAAAGCAATTAAACAAAGACTAAAGGGTTAAATGTGGACTTACAGAGTCCACACATGATTCAAAAGACTCTGGAAGATCTTCAAAAACAAAAGCATAGTTCACTTACATCATCATGGTTTGATATCTCCAAATTCATTAAAAAATATCAGAGCAATCAAGTTAACATTATAAAAAGTTTCATATATTTCAACACAAAATGAATTTTTAGCCAATTGTTTTTAATACAAGTATAACACTTTTAAGTTTATTTAAATGTTTACAAGGTAGTTATATCAAATGAAAATAATATATACAACATAAAAAAACCAAGAATTTCAATTCAAACATGATAAACACAATTTCTGGCCAACAGCATGCTATTCCAAAAATAAAGTTTAAGGTAAGATTTATATATATTGGTAGATTTATAATTTAAGAAAGAACATTACATCCTCCAAAACCTGTTTATATTGTTATAATTTTTCTACACTGAAATATACTTCTGACAGGTACTTACTTACACTCACACACATAGCTATTTTATTCAGTGCTGCTCTCTATTTGCAAATTTTTTTTTTGCATACATATCTCTCAGTTCAGATGGTTTAACTGATACATGCATGCAAGCTGTCATGCAACAAACTTCCATCCATAGACGTGCCCCCATACACGTGACTTGTGAGACTCCCTGTATGCTATTCTACCTAACTATCATTTCTCGTCCGGCAGTGCTTGTGCTCAGGTATTTTATTTAGTGCTCTCTTCACATTTTGAATTTTCATATAGTTTATTTCCCAGTTTCCAATGTGGTCATAGAAGACCCCATCCCCAAAAGTGATAGAACCTCTCGAGAGGTAAGTGACACAGCTGATAAGGCATGGTGAACTAAAAGTTCCATGGAACTGAAGCATAAAGGAGAAGAGAGAGCTTGACTGATGTTGGTGTCAAAGAAGACTCCCAAATGCACTAAGAAATACCAAAAATGGTTGAGAAGAATGCTCATGCAACAAAGGACATGGGGTAATAAGAAATAAGGAGATACAAAATCTGTGAAAGCCAAGGAAGGCCTAGGTGAATCATCAGGCTGGAACTGGGAAGGAACAGCAAACTCAGGAGGAGAAAAGACAATCAAAATCGTTGTCATGCTGAATAATGTTAGCAGATTTTGAAAGCAAGGTAAGTAAAGAGTGTGCTGATCAGAGGCTCTCCTGGGTCAAAACATACTGATCGTTTCACCTAAATGGGAGAAAAAGTGATCCGCATGGACCTGAATATCAGGAGAGGGAAGAAATACCAAAAATGGTTGAGAAGAATGCTCATGCAACAAAGAAGGACAAGGGGGTATAAGAAATAAGGAGATACAAAATCTGTGAAAGCCAAGGAAGGCCTAGGTGAATTGTCAGGCTGGAACTGGGAAGGAACGGCAAACTCAGGAGGAGAAAAAGACAATCAAAATCGTTGTCATGCTGAATAATGTCTGCAGATTTTGAAGGAGTTCAGGTGACATCAGGGGACAAAGGGTGACCCAAGTAGTGTTCAATCTCCTGATGGACAGAATCAGATAGATCCACAGTCAGGTCGCCCACATCTGAGGCCTGAGATAGAGTATTGGTTGTTGGTGTGACCCCATGAAGT